GTATTCTAGTTATAATACATATATGTGCGAAAATATATTTTGATCAAAATGACTAGGACGCGCCTACTCCCGAGTTAAATTAATGTAAACAATTCTTTTGTCATTATATTGGAGCACATTGCGTTTCTAGTAATAGATTTAGATATTATATGTGTGTTTATACAAGACATGAGGAAGATGAACATAAAACAAAAATATCGAGGAAGATACATTTAATACATGAATTATATAGTTTAGATCATTCTTATTTGCATCACACATATACACACCATTCTAGATTGCATTTTCTCAAACAATTTTCTTTTGATGAAGCACCGTGTTGTTAAGAACAATTCTTTATTTTACGCTATGTCTCTACTTTTGTATTTAAAGAGTTACAATTAATTTAAATTTGATGTAGATTATTTTAGTTCATGCTTACAAAAGAATTCTCAGTATGGAAATATAAATTTTATATCAATACAAGAACTGTTAACAATATGAAAAATAGCTAAAATAATTTTTTAAAAATAATTTATGAAACAACGTTTTGTTATTCTATGGACATAGAGATTCTATAGATATATATATATATATAGTTATCATTTAGTTTAAATAAATATATAACAAGTCTTATTCTCTAAATAAACTTAAACAATATATCGACTTTTTGAGAATATAAAAGTACTGTTAGATATGTGGACATTTTTAAAAACTATTTGTAAATTGTATGGAAAGAAATAAGATGAAATTGTGAAGTAGTTCCTGTATGTACTATTGTTGGATGTTATTTTATAACATATGCGATTTATTGTAACATAAGTCATGACTAGTGGTTTGTAATTAAAGTACCGAATTACCTCTGAATTATTGTAAATATTGCTACATCGAAAAAATGAATGCATTTTGGACATAGCGGCTGAGTAAGATTGTACAAACTATACGTCATGGAATTTGTGTATATCTATGGTAAAAGCTGTCGCGTCAGTTTCGCTAAAATATCCTTAGAGTTTTCTCTCCACTTTTAGATTTTTGCTTTTGTGAGTGAATTGTTAATGTTATCTTTTCTATCTGATACTGCGCGTGCGGCGACGATCGACATTAGTGTATATACATATATATTTAGCGCTCTACGATTATTTATTTCTACGTAATAATAATAAGGGTTTAACTTTTAAGTTGCACAAGTTGTGTATACTTGTTTGCTGTAAATCATTTCAAGTTGTGGTTAGAAAGGAATGATACACTTATAAATATGTTTCCAAACTGTTAAAATTTGGAACGCTGTCTAGAACTCGTAATTTACAGTTTGCAGTGTACATAGAGCCGGTGAGATGCTTTCCCGACGCGTTGATCCGAATGATAGTGAATTTTGCACATCGGATTTGTATAGTTTGCGGTTAAGGATTTTTAAACTTTTAAAGTAAAATTATAGAAAACATTAAAAAAAAAAAGAAAAATGTAGCGGAGGAAAAGGTTATTATAATGGTTTTCGAGCAACACAAATTATTTCTAATAAATGGTATAACTTTTAAAAGATATGTCTTTCTATACTTACTCATAGATACATTGATATATTTTATTTCATATTCGTAATCAGTTGAAAATCTTTGCATTCGAGTGGCGCGAACTTTCATTTTTATTTTATGTTTTTCTTTCTTTTGTATATACTTTATGTACATATAAAGATACGTAAATTATAGATACGGTGCCATATCTGTTGAAACTTACGTTTTAACATAATCTGCATTCGTGAGCCGCGCAAAATTGTGGAAACCTTAAACATCTGATACCAAAATCACGACTAGATGATTCGAAATGTACATGCTGCGATTTTGTATTGCGCCACTAATTTGAAATTTTTTGAAAGGTATTTTTTCGTTGCAATTTCTTTGTCTTCTTTTGTAGAATAAAAGGGAAGCGTTTCAGAAAAGGCTTTTAAAACATTTAAGCTTTTCATAATTATGCAATTGACTCGCTATGCATAGGTAAATTAAGTTAAAGATTAAGTTATATTAAGAATGATTTTTATATTCATTCCATTTCGGGAATTATATACCTTTATGCTTGTTCTAAGATACGATATCTCAGGGATTTTTAAATAGTAGCATACAAATGTATTGATATACTCGTTACTATTTATATACTGATAAATTAACTAAAAAAAAATTAAAAAGAATATTTAGAGGCATGGTAATGCTAAGCAAGCGAAGCGTCATATCGCGAGATAGAAATTATTTCAGAATTCTGTATAAAATTTTACTACTAAAAGCAAGTCAAATTGTTTAACAGCAAAGAGAAGACTCGTTGCTACACTGGATATAAACTATGTAAAAAGTAGTTAAACGAGTATTTAAGAATCTCTGAGATTGTATAAATTATGTAATATGTATAGGTCATAATTAACACGTGTAGTAATGTAATTATTAAAATACAAATACCGTGCTGCGATAACGATTTACTCTTCACGTGGAATCATAATCGTTAAAAAATTGGCGATGTTAATTAGAATGTTAATAAGGAATATTTGATACTTGCATGCATTTATATGAAAAAGAACGGAAGTGTCTAAGCGGAATTAGATGTTTATTATACCGTTACAGAAATGAGACAGCGAATTGTTCTCAAGATTCTAAAAAATGTATAAAAGAGAATCACTTTATAATTTGTTTAATGTTAATACGAAATTTCTATTTTGAAAAAGTTCTTTTTTGCATAAAAACTTTTTTGCTAAATCCATAGTAAAAACGATGCAATTGCGATATTTGTATCACATAAGATACATTCGCAACGGTTAGCGCAGAGAGTGTCATTTAATCCTTGTTTAACACTCGGTGAACAACAAGGGTAAAGTAATACTTCTGATCTAATCGCTGCGTAAACGAATGCAGGGATAGAGATTTGCTATGCAATCGAAATATTGTCGCATATAATATTTTGTGCTTCAACGTAAGTGTCTTTTAGCTTTACACAAACGTGTTTATTAGTTGCATCGGAATTAAGGTATATACGAATTGCCTTGATTTTATATCGTTGTAATTGTTATAAGTGTAATATTAAAAATGCTCAATTTCTGTAAAACACATGCTGGCTTTAGCAGAAGATATTGCGATGTGCGGATTAAATGAGCACATTGAATTTTTGAGATACCTGTACGGTATTTGTATATCTGCGCACTGTATAATCTTGTAATGGTAATAAATTAATTACTTCCAAGCCTGTTGTCTACTCTGTCTTATTATATATAGCCAAGCACATAATTAAAAAGAATCAAATAGTATTATATATCAAAGTGATTATGGATTGCTATATTCCTAATCTTCTGAAATTAATGAATCGATCTTTATATGTTCTTACTGTTTGTTTTTGGTATGTTAAAAGAAAATTAGTCTGACAAAAGAAAATTTATCCTTTTAAACCCAGAAAGACAATTAGTGTAAATTTTGTAAAATGCTTTATTATAATAAAATTTTCAAAAATTTTATATTAAAGTTAAAAACGTCATTGCTAGTATATTAAAAATTTCTATTATTAAATTATTCATTAATTACTAAAAAAAATTAACATATAAATATTTACTGAATTAATTATAAAATGATTAATATAAAATGAATTAATATTGCATTATAAACTAATTGTTCATACTTGTGTTTACAAATTTTTATGTCAATAACAATATTAATATTTTTCTCAATTATTACGTTCTTAGCGCTTTACTCATCACGAAAACGGAAAATTTGGTTGAAACAAAAAGAAGCTTAGAGTAACGTGTCTATGTTTTAGATAGAATTCACTAGGGCTTCCATATGCACAAAATGTATACGTTAAACTATGTAACCGTGGATATTTTCGGCGGATAAGACATCCATAGTTTTCGATTTTGTTTCGCATTGCGTACACTGGTTTAGTTCTATTAATTGTTATGTCCATAGAATATAATTGCCTTATAATGCATTATAAAAATATTAATTAAAAATTGAAATAGTTTAAGTTTAAAAAACATTAAAAATATAAAAAAGCATCAAAAATATTTTAATACTGTTTAAAAATATTTATTAGTGCAAAACATATACTAAGAAAAAATGCAACCAGGAATGCAGGAAACCAAATTTAATACCATTGTTTAGATGTTCATTATAAAAAGATGTATAAGTCGTTCTAACTTTAGGTTGTTCTGTTTTGACCTAATATAATTACGATAAAAACTTTGATAAATTTTCCTATGCAAACTATGTATTTTTAATTTAAAAATTTAAATAAAGTTTAATTCGATAAAAACGGACTTACCTGTAGTAGAGGCTTTCCACTATCTTCGTCGATTTAAATCTGCAGTCCTTTTTTAATTGCATAAAAATTTTTTATTTTTTCATTATTTATTACTTTACACATAAAATTTATTTATTTTGAAATATAATACAAAGAAAATATGCTAGAAACATATAATTTAATACACGTATATAATACAACACAATAGATATTATGTAATACATTATAAAGTAAAATATAATATAAATAAAATTAAGTACATTACATTCCGTAAGCAATTTTGTTATATATTATACTGTTCTGTTTTTACGGAATATACTTGCAATCGATGAGTCATTAGCTTACTTGGATTAAATTTGGAATTTTTAAGCAAAATATTCTCAATTTTAAGTTATGAACAACATCGAACAGAGACAAATCAACTTGTATAATAAGTCGTGATTTTATATAATGTACTTATTGTGGTTTTATATTATAATGCACATCGTTTCCTTTAAAAGTGATATTAATAAAAATATGTGATTTTTGAGTTATTATATTATGAATAAATTATGGAAATTTGTCTACTATATTGGACGCTATTTGTGAAATTTTTTATGCAAGGAATTTCTTTCCTGATAATTGACAGTTATGCGTACCTCTGCAAGATTTTTGTTGTTATCCGAGGATGGTTCAAAAAGTGAATCGAAACGTTATATTTATATTTATTATATTGTTGAATCTCTTATGTGCTAAATTATTTCTGCGTCTTGACAATCGCGCGTGACTCATATTTACCATTTTTATCATGATTAATTACTTGTTATCATAAGAGTTAGGGTAATGTTCTGTTTCACGCATAATGCGCATGACATAACATTTTATTCTTTTTTATTATTCGATAAACAACAAAGATAAAATGATGTATCATGCCGTGAAACGGAACTTTTAAATAAAGATAATTCTATTAAAAGTAATCTAACGTAACTTCATTCTTAATACGATCACCAAACAGCATTGTGTCTTTTTTAAAGTTTTCAAAGAGATTGATATCCACATAAGATTGCCCGGGATATCAGAAAGAATATGTGACATCATATATTCGAGATCCGATTGGATATTCGACGGAGTCATTATCCATCCGAATACCGGATATTTTTCGGATATTGGTGCAATTTCTCCATTTTATTTAAAAAAAAAGAAAGGGAAAAAGGAAAGCAAGGAAAAAACAGCGACAATAATTTTCTTTATCTCCCTTACGTGCAAAGAAAAAGAGGAAGAATGAATTGTGCAAGAAGTTCAGCTGAAAAGAATAGAATTCATCAGTGACGCAAATTTTCAATAAAATTTCAGCCAGATGTACATATAGCCGGATGCTAATAATATCCGGCCGGATAGCAAAAAAGTCGAGTACTGGATACCGGATATCCGGTACATCTTTAATTGCAAGTAAAAAATTCATTGTTTTAAATGAATTAATAAGAGAATTGCACTAATATTATGTTATAAAATCTCAAATTTTTTAGGCATAATAATATTGCATATATAAGAATATTATACATAAGTCATTTCTATGATCTAATTATTTGTTGTTAAGAAAACGATTAGAATTATCTCAAAGGATGCCGGCACATGTGTAATAATTTTAATCTTGCGTTAATTATTGCAAGTTATTGTGGATACGATTTGTGATGTGATTCGTTTATACATACTTGTCCAGTTGTTTGCTATTTTCAAATTATTTATAATGAAAATCTCTCATGAATTTTAATGTTTTAATATCTTAATAACGTGCATTTGCAAAATGTAGTTCGCAGTAAGTAATATTTAAAGAAAAAAAATGATAAAAATGTTTCTAAGGAGTCTTTATCAATATATACACATGGATGATAAATTTCAATACAAGATCAATTATGTTAAACAAGTAAAACGATTAAAAATGATCGACAAAAACATATTTTTTGTTATTCTCATGAAGAATTTTTACATATATAAATTATCGTTATTCTCGCACTTGTAGATTTTGATTTCAGAGGCAAATTTTCAATCGCACGTATGAAAGAACGAATAGGAGTTTTCAATTATTCAGAGCATTTCTGGATACGGGATGTACAACAAACTATTTTTTTCCTTGTCAATGATCTTGGACATTGCTCTCGCACATATAGATTTTTGTACAAAATGCAGAGACAAACGTAGGAAATTTTCGTCACACATACTTATGAGAGATCGTCAATTATCTATCTATTTAATTTGAACTTATTTTTAATATATTTTCGTTCCACGAAAACTCCAAACTTTAATCACACACAAAAAAATGACATTTAATTATGATTCTAAGGCTATATATATAGGCTATATATATTTTTATCGATCGGATTGTGGTACATTTTTGAAAATCTATGTCAATTTGTTAGGATCGCCGTTATCAATTATGCAATAAATTTTGCAGTTAATGAAATAAATTTAGTCAAATATCTATTCAACAATTTTATTACAGACAATTTAGAATCTAGAATTAAGCCTTTTATTTTAAATAAGTTCTTATTTTAAAGAGGATTAAAAAAATGTAATTTTAACGTTAACAATATATGTTATAAATACTTATTACTTCCCAACCATGCATATATTTGCATAAATAAATATGTATAAGGTAATATATCCATAAATATCCTCGAAAAAAAAAAGTAATATATATGAGCATATAATATTGTATATAATTATACGTAATATATTAATTTTACATATAATTACATATAATTTTATATAATTATATATAGTTATGTATAATTTTGTATAATTATGTATAATAATATATGAAACATTTTTTTCTGAGATTTTAGCATTAATACAGTACAGAAAATTTTATTGCGTATTCTTATCTAAACATAGTTTTAAAATATTATTTTAAAACAAGGTATACAAAGTGATATGTTCTATTATCGAAATATATTTATGATTCGTTTTAAAGACGCACTGAGTAATTATATGGAATATTTGGTACTAATAATAGAAGTGGTTTTTACATATGATATAGCTTCATTGAAATAAAAGATATCGAGGGTGATTGTAATTGCTCACTATCAATTACAGCGACTTTAACCTAGGGAGATTTTTTATTATTTTTTTCTAGAGCTGTGATTGGCTAATGCTAGTGAACTTGTGCAACTGCAATACACTCGAAGATATCATGGACATCAATAATGGATAATTTTTGAATGTAATATTGAGGTGTAAAACTGTAACATACAACGAGCAAAATATTGATCTGGGAGAAATCCATGAAGTGTCATGTGCCTCATTCTTTAATTTAAGATTTTTTATTAAAGTTATTAAAGATAACAGTATTGATACAATAATTATTTTAATGTTCCTATTCTCGATATCATTTTAAATTAATGAATGTGATAAGGCTCTATATTTTATATTAAGAAAACGCTCTTCAATTTTGATGTTCATGAACCGCTCTTTCAATATATTTAATTTTGCACAAATGGTATATAAAATACATTTAATGTTATGTCAAAAATATGAAACATCAGTTAACAGCTCTGTACAGGGATCGTTTTACACTTTTGACAAATCAAAGCTTAAAATCTGTTTATTATTGAGCTTAAAATCTATTCATTATTGAGCTTCATGTTATTAATCGACAGATATTAAATTTTATTTATTCGAATTATCTCGCGTGACTATAAAACATGTTTCAGGCAGCCAAGATCTTTTAGATACAACAAGGCATCAACTAGTATTTTGGATACTTTGTCTCCTCCGGCATATCTTTGTTTCTTCATGCTTTCTAAAGGGCCAAAATCTAATATTTCTTGTACTAATACTTCTGGACTGAGATATCCCAGTATAATCGGTATAAATACGCACATAACAACGAAACCAAAGAGAGCACCTCTCTTAAAATCGCTCAACAAAGCATTATACGAGTATTTCTCAATATCTTGAACGCCGGTGTTTAATAGATATTCTTTAAGCGAGTCATGATAGGCCTGTATAAAATCGAAAAATTTTTCTTTCCTTATTTCATTTGAACAACATAAGTGAAGATATGTGGAGAGATCAATGACAGGTGTCGAGTACCTAATAAGCGCGAAATCAATTAATATTGGAAGATGCTGTCCATTATCATCTTCTGTCTTGAAGAGAATATTATCCAATGTGAAATCACCGTGACACAACGTGGCTAGAGGTTCAAGCGGCTGTACCGTTTTTATCATCACTTCTTCAAACGCATTTGAAAGTAAGGCTTCCATCTTATCACAGAAGACTGCATCATGATCCTGGCTGCGAAGATATTCTACTACTCGTGATGTCTTAATGTTGCAAGCAAATTTGTAAATATTCTCCGTTTTGTTTGTATACCTAACTTCTTGAATTTGCGCCGCGATATTGAAGAATTTTTCTCGTTGCATTTCTTTCATGACATATCCTTTACCATGAAATCGTCCCAGCTCGCGCATCGCCGCTAATGTATATTCCACTGGAGGATCATATCTATATGGCCAAGAATAATATCCTTGTTCATTGACATTTTCTAAAGCGATTATAGAATCGATAGGCGGTCGTTCTTCAACATAGAAACATTTTGCATAATTATCCGGTCGAGTGTACATTTGATAGAACAGGATCTCGTTGCGAAATTGAAGATCAATACGAGCTATCTGACTAAAACCCAACATGGGTCTCTTCAGTATTATAGACAATTCCTCGTTCTGTTTGTTTGTTTTATTCTCAAATTTTAAACGTACACGATATATGTTGGACATAATAAAATTGCCAGTAGATTCTAATAATTCGTACTGAGCTTTGTGAATGTCCGATCCAAGATTCTCGATGATCTTCGGCATCATCTCGTCGATCCATCTTTGAACATTTTCGTAGGACATTTTATTTTGAATACACGATTCGCACGTGTCCGAATAAAAATAATAAAATATACGTGAGTTACTGATTGAGTTTATATCACTTCGGCAATTAGCGCGGCACTAATAGTAGCTTCTTGTAAAAACTAGCTAATTTTGCTTGGCGCAAATAAAAACTACGAGTTTTATGAAGTTAACATTGGGAAATAGATATCGATGCATCGCGATGAATCACAAAAATAGTTTAACTGCGTATAGCAACGCATATTTTTAGAATGCTAAAACAGTTTGTTATCAGCTGATGACCGTGTCTGATAATAATTGACTCATTTAAAATAATACGTGTAGTACGGAATAGTATTATAGACAGACGTTAGGCATTATAATCAACTTATAAACAACTGTTTCTTGTATTTTTAAAACTAAACGGAACAGTTTTTTAAAAGATATATTTTTTAACGTAAATTACATATGTATTATAAATGATATGAAAAAGGATGCATTAAAAAAATTTCACTTTTTAAATCTTAAATATATTTGCTATAATAAATAACATATTGGTTATATTCATGTGGACATAAACATAATTTACGTAATTATCTTTCATTGACATTTCTTAAGGTGATTAATCTTAAGGTGAGCTGGAAGGTGATTGTTCTTCAAGGTAGAAGCATATTGCGATGTAGACGTAATATTCGTTACAATATGATAATAAAATAATGAAATAATGCATGCAATATACAGGGTGGCCTATTGAAAACAAAACAGATCGATATCTCTTATAAAAATGATTTTTCGAATAAAACGTAAAAAGTTTTTATTTGGAAGGGGACATCTTTTAACGTATAATTCTTACCCTTAACTTTAACTCCCCAAACGGGGGTGCCAATCTTTAAAAAATTTCAAATGGGAAAGAGGGGGGTCAAATGATACATCATTAGAAAGGTTTGTCAATTTCCTACATTTCTATGTTTGATTTTTTTAAATTCGATCAATTTGTTTAGACGATACAGAATGTTAAATATGAAACAAACAAATCTTTATATCTTTAAGTTTTTTTCTTTATTATCTATTGAATCAATTCATTGATCATTTGCAAAGCAAAGGGTGTCTGAGACGCATACTATTGTATAAGTTTGCGTGATAATTGTTTGAAATATTGACCCACCGACTTCCATACAATAACAGAGATTCTGCTGGAAACATTATTGTATATTTTGGATTCTGAAACATTTATAGGGTGATTTGATTCAGCATTCGTTAACGATAAATTAATGTAAAAATGTTAACTGTGTTGCATAAATTTTATTTTTTAAATGATCCCCACAAAAAGAAATTTAATGACGACAAATCTTGAGACTGAGAGGCCATTCAATAGCGCCTTTTTTTCCAATCCAATGAATAAAATTTCGGAAAAATTTTATTCAAATACGAACAAGCCGTGCATAATGCGGAAGAGCTCCGTCTTATTGAAATATTAATTGATTTTCAAAATAATGATCATCATTAAAAGATGATCATCAAATTACTACTGCATTTAAATTTTCTAAAATTAAACATATAATATAAATCATTCCCACTAAATCGGACAACTATTATTAATAACCTAATTCTAAAACTTTCTTACAAACCCTAAAAATTAAATAATAAATTAAATAAAATTCTATATATACCTGTATCATATAATAATATACATAATTATTGTGAAATATTTACTAATAATAATTTAACTATTATTAATATAATTAATATATATTTATATATTAAAATCAATAATATTAAAGAAA